GAGGTCGGAGAGTCAAGCGCCAGATTTCGACATGCCACCGAGGACTCGAACGGCGAGGCCATGACTACAGCCCTCGAGCTACTAGATGAAAAGCGAGAGGCTACACTAGTCCGGATGGCCGCCCAAAAATAGAAGAGATATTATAACAGGAGAACAAACCTCCAATACTTCGGAGTCGGGGACTTAGTCCTGAGGAAAGTAACCCTCAACACCCGGAACCTAAATGAGGGGAAGCTAGGCCCGAGCTGGGAAGGACCGTACCACATCCTCGGAGTAGTAGGCAAAGGGTCCTACAAACTCGGCACCATGGAAGGTGAGCAACTTCCAAGCAATTGGAACATATTAATGCTAAAACGCTATTATTGCTAAGGTATAACCTTCTCCCTTTTCGCTTTATGTCTCATACTAATTTCTTACAGGTGTTCGACGGGAGACTCCGAAGCACCCTTCGACTCGAAGACCTTGGGTTTTAAAGCATGTGTTGCGCTCTTTTTCCCTTAGACCGGGTTTTATCCCAAACGAGTTTTACCATCAAGGTTTTTAATGAGGCAACATCTATATGCTACCTAAGGAGAACTCAACAAATATTCAAGGCTTCTTCTCAATCGGCCTCGAATACTGGGGGACATCCCCTTAGAGGTTATCTTTTCGAAAAAATCGAGTTACGCCTGAGGGGACCTCGATAGGAAAATATTGTATTGGGCCAAACGGTCAAATGAACTGTGTCCATATAGAACAATTGAGCATCCAAAGGAAAAAACATGTACACATATATCAAGTAATCAAAGAAGCCTCTCTGCTTGTCAAAACACTGTGTGCCTCAAAGAAGTTTACTACTGTCACGCAAAATGGCTCAAAAGACAAAAATCCTCGAACACTCGGGGACTTTTAACGCCAGCCAGCTCATCGAAGCCATCAAAAACTTGAGTTCGTAAGACCTCAGTGAGGCAACATCGAATCTGTAAGACCTCAACGAGGCATGCCCAAACTTATGAGACCTCAATGAGGCGACACCGAGCTTATAAGACCTCAATGAGGCGACACTGAGCTTATAAGATCTCAACGAGGCGTACTCGAATTTATAAAACCTTAAAAAGGCATAACCCCGATATTTAAGGCCAAGGCTATATATTCGAACTTGTAAGACACCTAAAAAGGCATACCCTCGATATAGACGCCAAGGTCATCGCACCCGGGGACTAAAGGCTACGGCCAAACATAAAGACTATAGTCGAACTAAAAGGCTACGGCCGAATTAACGTGGCTCAGAGACGTCCGACTGCCGCCATAAAACTAAAGGCCTTCAAATACTTCAAAGATACTTCGAAAAGAACAGGTTAATCAGGCTACCCTCGGCATAAGCAAAGGAGTTTCGATAAATATCAGCTCTGAACAATAAAAAAAAAGGCTTCGAAAACAATCAGCCTTCGATGAAAAGGTTTCGAAAATTCAACCTTCGAGCGAGCCTCCCGAGGTACTCAACTATCGTCATTCATTGACTCATAATCGAGGTTCTCGTTTTGAGCCGTCGAAGAGTCGGACGAACATAAAACATGCCACATAATCAAAGCTTCAAAAGTCTTTAGCCGAAATGAGGGAAAACTATAACCATATTAGAGGTCGCATCGACCCAACCTAAAGAGATGCGTAAGAGCCTAAGGGCCAGCTTAAAGAGCCTAAGGGCCAATGCGTAAGAGCCTAAGGGCCAACCTAAAGAGCCTAACGGCCAATGCGTAAGAGCCTAAGGGCCGGCCTAAAGAGCCTAAGGGCCAATATGTTGAAAACCTAAGGGTCAATGAGCTTGAGTCAAAACTTGATTCGAGGACCGATCCCTAAACGGTCAACTATTATCAATTGTTAATCAAACACAACCTAAGGGTTCTTATCTAAAAGTCCAACATATCGGACTAATTATCGGCAGACATCAAAACTCAAAACATAAACAAAGACACAAGCAAGTGGGAATTTATATAAAGGGAAAACCAAAGGGTTCCTTTTTTATTATAAATAATGGTACAAAGATACATTTACAACACTCTCACGGGGAGCCCGATGCAAAGAACAAGAAATAAAAACCTAACCTACCGCCGGGGTCACTTGGCCAGACGGAGCTCTCTCAGAAGTTGTGCCTTTAACGGCTTGGCCCTCGACCCCCAAAGCATCAACGGCCTCCTCCCCCTAGGGGACTTCGCCTTCATATTCATCATCCTCCGAGCTGCTAGTCGAACCACTGGCTGAACCATCATCGGAAGAAAGCAGAGCTGCCGATTCTTCCTCTAGGGCCTTCACCCTCTTGATCTCAGCAGAAAAATCAATGCCCCGAAGGTTCTCTTTGCTTAGAATTCAGGCCTCGAAGGGACATTGAAGAGTTGAAGAATTCAAAATCGTTCCTTGTTATTTCATTCCAAGAAACGCAGGGACTATCTGTATACGGTTAAAATCAGGAAAGACCGATTGTAAGGCTTCTATGGCGTTTTTGAGCCCGAACTCGATGGGCTCGAAGCGTAGTCTAAGGCTCGAAGCACTCATCTCGAGAGGGTATATCAAGGAATCATCATAGCTTACCTTGAGGCAGCATGAAAATCGACGACCGTCATGGAAAGGTGGGAGTTCCCGAGGGCATGTGATTAGAACTGACAGAGTCTGCAAGAAATAGTACAAGTCTGTACTGAGCCGTTATATAGCTATACCAGTAGCATTCCCTCTTCATTTATTAGGCATGCACCATGTGGGGATTCTCCCCTCCTATATAAAGGGGACCCTTGTCATTTTGTAAGACACGATACATTGAATACAAGACAACATTCTCTGCTCTCTTTGCTTAAACAATTATTCTACATTTTTATTGTTTATTCTTTCATTGTTCATTCATTGTTCATTTATTGTTCTTCAATTATTGTCCATTATTAACTGCAAAAGGCTATCTTTGAGACCTTCGTTATCATTGTTTCTTCATCAATTGTTCATCGCTAACTGTCCTAACTACCTCGAATCCTTGTTCCGGCCAACTCGAGGCTTAGTTTCGCGATAGCTTTGGTTTGCATATTCTATTCTCTTTACTTATATTTAGCATCTATTACCGAACAACTAGCAGTAAAATAAATCACATATTTTTAGAACCACAAAATCAAATATAATTGTCAATACCATTTTCGAGGTAAACACCAACCATTTTCACTGTTTAGAAATTGAAACAGATGCTATTGAAATATTCCAATTAATACTTTGCCATGATAACTGCTCCCTCTACACTAACCTTGTTAATGAGTGCAGGTTATTACTGAAGAAACTGGAGAATCCGATGATTCGACATCATTTCAGAGAAGGAAACAACGCTGAACATGTTTTGGCTACAGTAGGATCCAAGTAAGCTAGCACCAACCACCTTGCAATATTAAGCTCTCCACCTAGGGATATTTTGAAAGTGCTTCAAGGGGACAAAATTGGAGCACCTAGTACTAGACTAGTAACTAAAAATGTATTAAATAGTTTGGCTGAACTTGGGAACCTTAGTAGTATTAGTAACTCTATCTCTAACAGCCCTACTGGCTTAGATGTTTTTGATAGTCCCTATGGGACATCGCCCTATGTATTGTAACTAATTAAGTTTTAATGAATTTCGTCTTTCAACAAAAAAAAAAAAAAACAACAAATAAATAGTTCTATTGCAAAGTCAAAAGAAGCCACCACCATAATGAAGGAGGGAGTCCATCTCCTAAATAGCGACCGGATTATTGCGGTCGTAAGTATTCGTACTCATTAAAGCGTCTACATACATTCATGAATCTCACCTTCAAAATTTCTCAAAAATTAGATTAGGTGAGATCAAACTTGATAAATTTTAATAATTGTAATTTATTTAAGACCTAAATACAAATTTGGAATCAAAAGTATTCAAACTACAATATGAAAACCTAAATCTATACAGAGTTTATTTGAGCAACTAAGTGGAGGAAAATGAAATTGTAATCACTATTAATTGTCATGAATTGACATTTCAAACGATCAAGAACAACAATTACAAACAGTGTCTTCCAATATAATGCTATTTACATTTTAAAAAACATAGTTTTTAAATCGTCAATGAATTACGTACAATACAAAATTCAAATAAATACAAATGAGAGAAAAGTGAGAACTAAATATTTGTTTCAAAACACCAACCTATGTCTCGTGAAAGTCCAAAACGTGGACATCATTCAGAACACATCTCCAACTCGCAAATAATTTCCAAATGCCACTTTTAACAGATTATTTCGAAGTTAATGTCATCATATTTGCGTCAGTAATGACGTGAGCTTAATCGATAACTCTCAGGAACCACGTCATCTTCATGTATATCAGAAGTTCACCCCATTTATCACCCAAGATTATGTTGAGATTAATATAATTCTTATATTCGTTGTAATCTATGTGGCCAAGTTCTTTTTTTTTTTTTAGCGAAAAAGTGTTTTTTTTTGTTTGTCAAAGTTATTTTTTTCAAAGCTGAGGTGTTTGATCAATTCTTTGAAGGAAAAAATTTATTTTTGAGTAGAAGAGAAACAAGAGAAAAATAGCTTCTTTCCGAAATTATTTTCTTAAAAAGCGTTTCTGAAAAAAATACATTTAGAAGTATTTTTTAAAACTTGATTAAATACTAATTGTGACTCAAAAGTACCTTTTAAATTAATTAACCAAACACAAATTACTTCTCATAACTTTTTTTTTATTTTTTAAATAAGCTGATTTTAGAAATTTGGCCTAAAAAACTATTAATCAGAGATCATAATTTTTGTGTCCTAACAATAATTTTTATTTTTGTAAAAAGTGGTTTGCTCTCTAATAAATCTTACGCCGCATGAATTTAAATTAATTCTCCCTACAGACACAAAATGAGAAAAAGAAAAAATTCACCCTATTTCTCTTACCATGGACCTTCACATACATTAAAAACTCTCTCCATTTCTCGTAACTTCGTCACTGCTCTGCTCACACAACATCTTAGTATCCTATATAAAGTTCTCAAATTCTCATTCTCATACTTTATCAATTCACACTTCCAGAATCTTCTGAGTTCTCTCTCTTTGGCATTCATAGCAGCAAAAAATTAGCATCCATGGCTACACCGTAAGTCTTAGTTTAGCTTCCCCGTTTTCCTTCATTAATTTTCGATTGATCAGCTAGTTTTATTTGTAGAAAATAGATAACAGTGATCAGGGACGAAATACAAGTATGTGGAGAAGAGTGTCTGAAAATATATTCTAAAAAGGGCAGCCGGTGTACGGTATCTCGTGTTCACGCAGAGTAGGATCGCACCTTAAGGAGATAGTCTGTCCTAATGCAAGCATTAGTTGCTGTTTCTGCGGTTTGAAACCGTGACTTATAGATAATAAGGATAAGAAAACTTTACCGGATGCTCCGAGGCTCCCAGCTTCTCCTTCTGAAAACTTTTAAAGAATTATATTTATACTAAATTTAAGAAGTAGTGATTAGAAAGTTCTCATGAAAATTAGTGGTTGATACATCATCTAAGGGTTGGAAAAAAAAATTCCTATATTGTCCAAGGTTGTAGCTTAGTCATGGTGAAGCTAAGTTTAATTAAGGGGTTACTTGATCTACTTCATTTGAAAATTATAGTGCGTAAATAGGATTAAAAAAAATTGTACACATAAAAATTGTTATTGGAGAACTTCTTTGTGTTAAAGATGACTAAAAAATAGCATCACGTCAAATCTTAGTACTTCAATTGGTTGACGCGAACATCACCTTTATACAAAAATAGGTAGTGTGTGATACAACAGGACCATTAAATTAAAATGTTGGATATTAGTGATGGTTGTGTATGTATGTATACGTAACTGTTGAATTTTCATCAGTTTGCTTTTGATATATATTTGTTTTATTTGTACAGAAGTGTACAAGAAGTTTTACCACGATCACTTGATTCTACTTCTCAACCCCCGTCTCTCTTCGACGGAACTACCAGGTTTTATTTACTTTTCTCTTTTTATGGCCGATCACTCATTATTTCTTGTCTGCATTTAGAAGGAAAAAAGTGTAATTTCTTCTTTATGGCGTTGATTTATTTGAGTGGAGATTGGTGATGTGGATCTGTTGTTTTCATTTCTTGCTGAAGGTTATACATCAATTATATGTGCCCCTATGCTCAGCGTGTGTGGATTATCAGGAACGTCAAGGTTCGTTTCACTAGTTTATGATTTGGCTAGTATGGCTCATATGCTTGCTCCATTTTTATATGCAATTTTTTAATAACCGAGAAATCTCGAGGGCCAGCTGGCTCAAGAAGTCAGTCGATAGCGTCTCTCTACCCTTCTCCACTTAAATACTAGGCTTTTGCTTGCAACAAGGTTCAAACATGTGACGTGAGCCTAATCCACACATCACGAGCTATGCTGTCACATTATTATTGTTTGGAGAACCAAAGTTTTTCTTTTACTAAGATTATTTCAAAAACCTTGTACTTTTTAAACTATTGTGACTTGCAGCAATGGTACTTTTGAAATTTCTAAATATGCCAAGTTTGATTTAAAAAAATTAAAATTTAACGTCTGAATTCATCAAAATTAAGTGCTCAACCCTTATCCAAACACCAGAAGCAAGCTACCTGGTATTCCTCCTTTTAAGTTGTGTATATTGCTTCATTTGGTCTGCCGTGGACTATCACGATGAAGTTAGGTTTTCC